CACCTCATTAAAAATACATGCCCGTCTCTAATGCATTCTTTTAATGCATGTCCAGGATGTATGTTGGAGTTGTTTGGCATAACGGCACGTTAAATGCGCGGGGGTATAGAACTTGGGAGCGGCATGAGCCTCAGGCGATGGCTTATTCATCAAAGCGTAGAATACGAGAGCGCAGTAGTCATGAATTGTAAGATCGGGAAAGCCTCCCATAGATAAAATGGAACAACCGACGTATCAGCCTGGCTTCCCTTTCAGCGGGCAGAAAGATTTATGATTGGAGATGAAGCTGATGCAAAGAAAATGTTTGTCAGTTCGCGATGGGAAACTGACAAACGTCAGCGGAACTTTGTCTCGGGAAAAGTGGATCTCGCAAACACCGCGTGATGGGAACGGGGATAAGCAGAAACTATAAATAAACCTCATTTCCCCGCCGTACGAGGGGCCCGTGGTGTTCCAGCGGGAGTACTTGTTCCAGAGGATCTCACTCTCTTAAGGCACAGTCAAGCCTCCTGGTGCGAATTAGAAGTAATAGTTGGTATGTACGAGGGGAGACTTTCTTTGATGTGAATATGGTCTCTAAGCAAGATCCAGCACCAAGCTCAACTGTACTAAATTAACCTCATTACTTACACACTTTGTGACGAGCTAATCAATAATTCTCCAACCAAAAGGAAGGTTCAATCGAACATAAAAGACAATGTTCCTCCGAGTCTTTGAAACCAATAATTGAGTCTAGGCTCTGGTCGACAAGCACGTGGCAGTCTTCGCTCGCGGAGGAAATGAAGTCTATTATTTTCTTTGTTTCATTGCGGAACATGGGATACATGTTAATGTGACCGGGGCAACTGTGGCGTTCTGAGGCTTTTGTTGACTTCAAACAACCAGTGATGGCTTGAATACAGGCAGTCTATCAGATTATTGCCCTTTTGTTCAATGAAACACTGCGAATCTATTTTCTAAAGTACCTACTTATCTCAGCTTGTATGTTGATTATTAATACATGCAGGCGTGTCATCTCATTCAAATTCGGCAATCCCTCACAAGCATTTAAGCTTGTTCGACTGTCTAATTACATCGGCGCCATGTGGCACACAACAAATCTATCAGTCCCTCAGATTAATCCAGTAGGTTTCAGTAATCATTCCGTGTCTTCCAGAGCACAGCGGTAATGTGATCGCTGCCTGGAAACTAACTCGTGAGAAGTGGTCTTTCTCATCCACTCAGTGTTCCCTTGTCCGTAAGTGTTAGCGAGCTTGTATCTGAACACCGTGGCGTGTGGCGGGCAACCTCTGACACCATATAACTTTCCGCCGCGATGCCTTCCGACGCCCACAGAATCTTGTGTCAAGAATAACTAGTATGAGTTCAGAAAGTTCTCTGAGCAAGTCATGAGAATGCTTAACTCCTGACACAGATGTGTCTCCCCGCCAGAACCATTGGTGGGTTAAGCACATAAGATAACGATGGCTCCTCTGGCGTGTACGCTTCGTTTCATCCACAAGATGAACGACCCAATATACCAGGGTGCTTTTCCACATCACGTAAGGTCAGAAGTTAAATGTAATTTGCTGATGAATGAATACCGCTGGTGCGGCATTTCTATTCATCCTAAAACCACACGGAATTGTTCTCTCTTTCATCACCTGAAAACGTTTAGTCACAGTTGGTCCACTACGTGACCTCTGAGCTTGACCCTTTGTCCTCCGTTCTGTGAGAAGACCACCACATGGATATTTTTAGATGCCTTCATCAACTCCTTTTTTAAATGGGTTCCAACCAGGTGCAGTTCCGATAAGCTATGTTCCCCCTATCCTCCGCTAGTTGTGTGTCGTGTAGCATTGACCTTGTATTGATCTCACAATTGCTGCGTAAATGCGATTAATCTTTTATTACAGAGACTACTTGGCCTTCTTTCAAGGCTGCAATAACAATCTATATGGCCCTAGGCCTTTGAAGAGAGGAACGCGGAAAGTCATTTTACGTGACGGGCATTACCTACATTTTAGTTGGCTTCCATCAAACTTTGTGGTCTCGTTTAATTAGATTTAGGTTAGTGGCTTTGGTACACATCACAAACCGAGAGCTTTTCCTGTTATCTTCGGCTCATTTACTGCGGATTCAATCTTCACGTCAGCGATCTTTATTTCATTAGTTGTAAGGATCAGCACTAAACCATGTTTGGTTATTTGCATTGCAGGCTAATTCAGCAATAGTCCTTGGAGGGGGTTAGCGAGTACGTTTCGCTGAATGGGGGGTATGCTAACATTTTCATCCAATGTCTGCACAGTTCTCAAATAGCAAATATTTCAATGTCGGCCACTTTTTTCTCTGCCACCAATGCCGATTGAAACGCCAGTGTGTGTGTTGTGTGTGTGCAAATTATGAATGTTGTATTATGAGTAACAGAATGAATTCGAAACTCAAAATCTTAAATTATTGTTTAAGTACAAATTGATGTATCATGATTTTTACGCCGCTTTTACTCATCTATGTATTTATTTTTCTTTCTCTCTCTCTTACATATAGCCACGTGCGTAGTATGCCGTAATTAGTGTGGGTGTTTGTTTTGAATTACACTAGCCCTCGGGCAAGGATTTGCAAAAGTAAGACAACTGTTATTATCATTATTATAAATATTGTGAATGGATTTGAGAGTAATATTGCTATTTGTGCTTGGAATTGTAAAGAGAAGTTGGTGCCTTCGCCAGCAATCCTTCTCAGGGAGACTAGCGTAGATTGTTTCATTTTCCACCTCACCTCACCCCCAAATCATGGTATTGGTTTGTGCTTACATTCCTACGCGTAGTTAGGGATTTATGACACGCCATATTCGCTGAAGGTCACCGGCGTCCTCTGACAATTCCCTGCGATCAGGGATTGATAGGGTATCGGTCAGACCCCTCTATTTGTCCTCATGTGAAGTTGCCCATTACTTGTGGCATTTTGCCCTTCTGTGGCTTCTAAGGCGGCCACAAATGTGTTCTGAGTGGTTACAGACATCGCTGATTCTGACCAGCCAAAGGTGGTAATCTCGTAGATTCGCTGCCATGCGGTGAACAAATGGTAATTCCCGTTTGCACCGTTAGGATGCCAGGCGTGGTCTTAGTTATCGGCACCTCATCTGCCAGTCCGCAATCCTCTCTATATTCAAAGACATTCCGTGTGTTATTGGCAGAACCGTTACCGTTTAGCTGGTATGGGAAGGTTATTGCCCAGGTAAGCACCACTCGATTCAGAATGTGGTTTGTTGAATATCTAATTTTAATTTATGTATTCAGATTCTTGCATGTTTTGTCTAGTAAACACACGTACAGATTATAGGTAACTTCGTCTTCCACTGTCTCAAAAGAAGAGGTCAAACCCAGTAAAACTAATACCATGTATGTTTTTTTTATATTTACATGTTCACCACAAAACAAGGCTCATGGGAGCCACTCAAATGTTTTGAGTTACTGTACAGACAGTGAGGACAGACGTTTGTTGACCCTTAGACTTGACAAGTTTAAGGTTATACCCATGTGGGAAACAATCACGTGGTAGCTTGTTCCACAGTGTTGTAGAATGTAGTATGATGTTAGACGTAGTTTCTCATACCATTGTATTTTCTTTTTTCATACATGTTGTTTGTACCTGCAATTAGCCCACGGGCATGTATTTGCAATATATAAATTTCCTATAATTTACGAACTAGCAAGTTGCAGGATGCCATACGGAGTGATAGGTTCCCTCGGCGGTAGTTTCCCAACTGTCGCGCCCCTCCTCTTCAGCAGCATCCCCAACAGCTGTCAGTGGGTTATTAACGACGTGTCACCCCGACAGACACGGCTGGCGTTCCCTGGCTCAGAACACGCGTCGCAACCTGTTGGCTATAGGTCTTATTTACTTAATGCTAATAGCGTATTTGTCTTCCCCTTTGTTCTCCTTAACCCGTGGACATCAAAGGCATAAATGATGTATCGTTATCTCTCCGTACTGACCCTACTTGGTTACATGAAAGCAAGAAATACAGAGTGAAGCTGACAACTGATTACTTTTCTTGCATTAATAACGTGACTAGCCAGCACGGGTCGATCAACAGTTTGATAAAACATGGCGGGACTTTTTCGACCGACGCGTCGGAGAGAGGATGAACATTTTGATTTATTTCGTTATCTATATCCACGGAGACGAACAAAGTGTCGCATCGACGTCCCCTTATTGGCTCATCCATCACATGTACAAAGCTCTTTTGACAAGTAAGGAAACCATTTAACCAGACCCTAGGGCCACTGGAACACTAAACTGTCAAAGGCGTGAATATGAGGAGTATTTACATACCCACCAAGCCCCAATACAATTCATTTTTTTCTGCCTAATTTGTCATTGCAAATTCAATTCATCTGATGTCATTATGAATATTGTTTTATTGCTAATACTGCTGAAAGTTTTCTAAACTAAAATAGAGCTGACGTACAGTTAAGCTCACGTAAATCGAATGCGTGATTACTTCGTTTAACTTTAATAGATATGATACCTGTATTAGAATGTATACTCGTAAAGGCAATAATTGGATCATCGACAATAATTATCCAGTGTTAACTGCTCATTCTGACGTGTTGTGATGTAGATGTGCCGCTGTGTTATTGGTTCATGGTGGTGTTATTGTAAATATATTCATATACTGAATCTGAAATACCCACAATTTTACCCGCACCCACCTACTACCCACATGCAAATCCATATACTTGAGAACAGGAAAGTCCTACGTATAATTTTACGAATATTGCAATAATGAAATCAGTCGGTGGTTGTTGTAGAGGATTTCCTCGTGGGACACAAGTTAAAACGCAACAGTGAGAAGCAGTGATGATGGCCCATATCGCTCCGCCTTCCGTAAGGATTTGCTTTATCTCCACGCCAGCATCTGGTGGCTCATTGCATAGCCTGCGTGTCGGTGCGTGCGGCAGGCTCTTCGCGAGCGGAATACCCGGGTACGGCCGAGGGATCGTTATATTGGAAAACCGCGGCGAAAAGGTGTATTGATGGTGATGGTCTGCAGTTTTTCACCCATTTTCTGTTTCGCTTGGAGTTCAGGGGTCCCCCTCGAGGGAAACAGTCAGTAACCATGGGACGTCCTGCCAGTCTACTCGTGCACATCGCGGCTAGTATCGTGCTGTGGGAAGGTAAGCCACTCCGCTCCGGCGTTATCCCGACATCGTCTCATGTAATGAGTCCGAACACTTTTATCTATTTTTCGATTACCTCTCGTCTGTCCCTGGGAACGATTTAATGATCTTAATTAACAATTCCAAAAATCAATCGGATGTGTCTCAGCAGTTGACACAGTAATATCTTACTCTCATCTGTAGGCGTTAGAGAAAGTGGGAGAAGAGATCAATGAAAATGGTATGTTGCATGGCAGCAATTACCATTCACAGAATCACTTTAGCAATGTCGACCGCATTTTGTATCAGCATGGCATGATATTGTATTTCCTCACGACTTGGTGCCAAGATTGCTTTCTGCTTCCCCGGAACAGCTCTATCTATCAGGCATCCAAAGGTTCAAATAATATCCGAATCGCTCATTATATTGTTTACATCCTGGGGGGAACCTGATCAAAGTAAGTTCTTAAAATCAGGACTCTAGCCTTGAGTAATGCCTTTTGCCGGGTATCATTGTCCAGTATTTCCGGATACGTGTGAATTCTGATCGGATATTTGCTCAGAATGTCGCCATTTCTGTTGTATCTGTCCGAAGCCCAGGCTTCAGTGTTTCATGTCGGCAGATTGTGTCAACATTACACTTCCCTTGTAACACGAACAGGGTCGTTCTAGCACTAGTCCTGCCCGTATGAGCATCTGCTTTATGGAAATATCACTCACAATGCTGTGGATGCTAACATCCTGTGGGAGAACCCCTTTCACGTACATGTTGATTCTCGGTCCCAGTCGGCGCAATTAACGGCATGTAGAGGGTAACAGCCCGGTCTCTGAGGGTCCACGGGTCTTTATGAAAGCATTGCACAGGCCACATCATTACCTGCCGGGGATTGCAGAGAAAGAGGCCACTACCTATTCTGCCCTACTTATGGGATCAAGCATGGTGTCAAGGACTATACATCTACGTTAACGTGAACATAGAGAAATGTGTTAACAACAATGGCAATTCTACAGGGCTCGATTAGAAGCCATAGTTTCCCACCTAGTAGGCTCTCCTCTGGGCAAGGCAACTTAAGATGTAGAAAATGTCTTAGTTTGAATAATTGCTAGTGATGCGGCGACATGCATCAACCTTATCTTGCCAGGGAGGAGGTGCATTTCGGTTTTGCCTACTGGGTAAGAGAACCATTAGGGATTCCTCTTGTCTGACCCAGGGCAGAATATGGTCTATTATTTCGCCTCTCTGTCGACTGACTTTGTGCTGTTAGTCACCAGGCGAATATGTCAGCAGAATACGTCGTTTTGCTTCATGTTGTTTCTTAATATAGCTTGATTATGCCTGACTGGTAAATGCTAGACGGCTGCTCAAATGTGGGGAAGATAATTTCAACATGACGATGACAATTTTCTTTGAAGAGTATATTACATTCTGAACGTGAACCAATGCCAAAAAACTATCTACGGAGATGATAACAAAAGATTTTAGATTGATGTGCAGAAGCCACGAACAAAACTAATGGGAATAGACAAAAAAATAACAGATGGTGACTTCCGCTCAAAGTTGCCATCCATTAAATTGGAAAGCCACAGAGACGTTCTGTTGCATGTATTGCTTCTGGTTAGACTTTTAAAAGTTTCCGAAGAGCTGAGTGCTACATTCTCTGCATGACCCAGAGCAGAATAATGTGGACTTCACTTTGTAAAAGAGTGACTGGCAGATGGGCTATGCAGGGATTTATGCCCCTTTACAGTTTTCCTGCAGGAGAGATAAATGCACTTTACTCTTTGTCTGGTATGTTGTTCAACATGAAAGCCAGCGGTACTCTGTTACAGACTATCAGCTTCTCAAAATATCCGCTGGATGTCATTGGCCAGCGGGTTACTTTGGTGAGCAAAACTATCCGCTGGATGTCATTGGCCAGCGGGTTACTTTGGTGAGCAAAACTATCCGCTGGTCATTGGCCAGCGGGTTAATTACTTTAGGGAGCAAAAACATTCGCTGGATGTCATTGGCCAGCAGGCTACTTTAGTCACGTGAGCAAAATATCCGCCAGTCATTGGCCAGCAGGTTACTTTAGTGAGCAAAAGATCCACTGGATGTCATTGGCCGGCAGGTTACTTTAGTCACGTGAGCAAAATATCCGCCAGTCATTGGCCAGCAGGTATTTTAGTGAGCAAAAGATCCACTGGATGTCATTGGCCGGCGGGTTACTTTAGGGGGCAAATTAAAAAAAAAGAGTTTTTGCATTCTTTCTTACGTCATAAATGGATAAACGCTACAAAACCCCGCCATATCCTGGCTAAAACGTATCAGATACTTGTAGATGACTGCGGAGTGAACGGTTTTGCATAGTCGAAGTTCTTAAAATCACACCAATGACACGTGTAATAAATTCCAAACGCTTACCGTCTCAGGTGGGAAAGCTTAGTCTCTTAAAAACAATCAACCAGTAGTTAATTACCTTGTTTGCATCCACGTTTGACACGTAGCCGTTTTTCAGCCGTACGTAATCTCAGCATATGTCAGATTTGTTTAAAGATAGTGATTGTATCTACCTCGTCAACGTGGAAATATGTCAGCAATAATAAAAAGGAGGATATTTGAGTTATCTCTGAATGCAGTTTCTCTTATCTTGGCTTTGCAGTGTCCTGAAGGAAGCGCGCGCCAAAAGAACAGACAATAATTCTTATGCATGGGGATGGCTCCCTTTCAAGCACACGTCTGTGGTGTCATATTTCACCGCTGTGGCTACGGTTTTGTTATTTGCTTTAATCCGCGAGCCCCAGGTCGGATAAATATTTGTCAGGCTGACAGAGTTCACTCATACACGGATCCCAACCAATGTTCTTGTCCTCTGATCGCCAATAAGGCAGTCCGGCTAAATGACCTTTTGGCAGGCTCTGTAAGCAATGTTTATTGACTATGTGATGAGAAAACTAGCCTTCTCCGTATACTGAATATGTTATTTGTGTATGAACGTGGGAAGAATTACTCAATCACCGATAGGGATCAGTTGGTACGTAATTTTTGACGTAGATACGTGAGGGAGAGGAAAGATTGATGAGCGTAGGGTTCCAGATACCTGTAATTTCTGTCACTCATCATAGTCAGTTGTTCGGCCCAAACGAGCTGTTAAAAGCCGTAGCAATCCATTCGGCGCCCTTAATAACACTGTGACCGATAGTTGGTTGAAGTCTGCGCAAGTAATTTAATGCCGAGTACGCAATTTTAGACATTTTACGTGGGTCAACAACAAAAGAGACAACTGTAACGACGTAGCCAATTGCTTTCAGCAAACCTCCCACTATGTCACTGTTGAGATAACAGGTATTTTACACGGACTGTTTCTGCATGTTTAATCATGGAGATCAGATAAGCCGGAAAGGTAGTCTTTTTGTGAGGTACTACGGCATTAAACATGTCCACGTACGGCCTGCACTCCGGGCAGCAGCTATTGAGTCTTGTCAATTTTCCTGTGCGACCTCGCTGTGGGTGCTGTGTGCTCGTACTACATGTAGAATATATAACCCTGCTAATGAAGCCTGAGCACGTAGGAGCCCATGCCTGGCATGACCTTCACTATCCCTTCCTGGAGGATCCTTGTTGCCGGGCTGTGGACGCCAAAGGTGAGGCGTTATCTCCCATGTCAACATAGGAACGCCGCCTTAACGTGATAATGAGTCTGGGAGAGATATAAGACCATATCAAACTAGTGAAGGGAGGTCAGAACCCGCCAGTGGTCTGTACCAACAGATTCAAAGGCTATCACGCGTGCAAACATGATTGCGGTTTGTGTGTTCCGGATGTCTTTGATTACAACATAATCTTACATCATATATTTCCATTAGTGACTAGTCATAAAAAGGAACCTAATGTTTTATTTAACCCCGTACCTAATAGTGTACTCATGCAGCGTACTTGGTCATACGAAGTATAGTTTGTAGAAGTGTGACAATAGGACCTCACAGAAGCAATTCTTTTAGTTCAGATTTTATTTTATTTGAAATATGAGGTAATAGTTATCTTTTCTCCATGGTCATGGATGTAAAACTTTCATATGAAGACGATAGAACCGGTAAGAAATAAATCATGAGAGCGGTAAGATTGCCATTTTATTGACCATTTTACAATGTTGCGAGGTAATTATTCTGTAATACCGAGCAGATTGTGCGATGTATTTATATCTACAAAGTTGTGTTTGGTCACGCACTGGGAAATTAACATTAAATTTTGGACGTCTACCTCTACATTTACGATGTCCCGATTATTCTAATTTTACGCTCCATTAATGTCGTGGGACCGACAATGTAGAATGTCCGCCTACTAAAAATCCCTACGCGGATTGGGTACTTGAGAGCGGGGCTCTCTTGGCAAAAATAGCAGCTGGGATGCGATATTGCAGAAAAGATGACGCTCATATGAGATTCTGGTGCAGAAGGAAA